CCTCAAACTTGCAATCCTCCTGACTCAGCCTCCCACATTCTGAGATTATGGGCTTTCCCCACCATGCCTGGCTCTTCACATGATCTAACGTATAGAAAATCCTGAAGAGTGCACCAAAAAATTCATGAGAACTAGTAAATGAACTCAGTAAAGTTGCAGGATACAAAATCAGTGTGCAAAAATCAACTGTGTTTCTATACACTAACAGCAAGGTATCAGAAAGAAAATAAGCAAAAAATTCACTTGTAATAGCACTAGAAATAATAAAATACCTAGGAGGAAATTTAACCAAATAGGTAAAAAATTGTACACAAAATTATGGAACTTTATTTTGGTGAACTTCTTTTGGGATTGAATCAAGGGCCTTCACACTGAGGTATATCCCCCACCTGTATTTAAATTTTTATTTTAAGATAAGGTCTTGCTAAGTATCTAAGTTGTCCACAAGTTGGCTTGAACTTGTGATCCTCCTGCCTCAGCCACCCAGAGGGCTGGGATTATAGTTGTGCACTACCATGCCCAGCTAAAACACTGATGAAAGAAATTGAAGATGGCACAAATAAATGGAAAGGTATCCTGTGTTCATGGACTTCAAGACATAACACCGTTAAGATGTCCATAGTAAGCAGAGTGCTTTACAAATCCAGTGCAATTCCTATCTAAGTTTCAATAGCATTTTTCACAGAAATAGAAAGAATAATCCTAAAATGTCCATGGAAACACACACACACACACACACACACACTTTGAATAGCCACAGCAATCTTGAGCAAGAAGAACAAAGCTAGAAGCATCACAGTGCCCAATTTTAAAATATACCGCACAACTATGGTAATCAAAACAGTGTGAAACATGTAGGTTGATAAGCAGAACAGTCTAGAAATAAGGTCATGCACTTTTAGTCAAGTGATCTTCTACAAAGATGCCACAAACGTACAACAGAGAAAAGGATAATCTCCAACAAATGCTGTGAAGAAAACTGGATATCCACATGGAGAACAATGCACTTGAAACCTTTCCTCACACCCTATTAAAAAAAAATCACCTCTAAATTCATCAAGGACTTAAGCATAAGACCTGAATCTGTACAACCAGCAGAACAAAGTTTCTTGACATTGGGGTGGACTCTGATTTTTTGGATATGACTTCAAAAGCTCAGGCAATACAAGCAAAAAGTAGACACATAGGATTTTATCACACTGGAAAAGCTTCTGTGCAGCAAGGGAAACAACCAGCAAAGTGAAAGATAACCTACAGAATGGGAGGAAGTATTTGCATATGCTTGAAAAGGAGTTATACTCAAAGTATATAGTATAAGGAACTCAATTCAATTGCAAGAAATCAAATAACACCACTGAAAAAATGGGCAAAAAAACCCTGAACAATCATTTCTCAAAAAAAAAAAAAAATGTTGAGCATGGTGCTGCACACCTGTCATCCCAGCACTCAGGAGGCTGAGGCAGGAGGATCACTGTGAATTTGAGGCCACTTTGAACAACAGACTGAGCTCAAGGCCAACCTGAACTATACAGTGAGACCTTGTGTCAAAACAAACAAACAAACAAACAAACAAATGACTAAGAGGTACATGAAAAGGTGCCCAGGAGCTGGGAACCACAGTGCATGTCTTTAATTCCAGGTCCTTGGGAGGTTGGGCCAGGAGGATCGCAGGTTTGAGCCTAACCTGGGCAACTTAGCAAGGCCCTGTCTCAAAATAAAAATAAATAGGGCTGGAGGAGTAGCAGAGTGGTAGAGCACTTGCTTCATGTACATGAGGTTCTATATTCCCAGTACTAAAAAAAAACAAAAACAAAAAACAAAAAAAAGAGCTCAGTATCACTTAGCAATCATCAGGTAAATGTAAATTAAAACCATAGTGAGCTATCACCTCACACTGTTAGGATGACTGGTGTGAAAAGGACAAGAGGACAAGTGTGGGGAAGGGTGCGGAGAAAAGGGATCCATTGTGCACTGTTGGCAGGAGTGTAAATATAGTCATTGTGGAAAGCACTAAGGAGGTTCTTCAGTAAATTAAAAATAGAACTACTACATAATTCAACAGTCCCACCTCTCCGTATGTATCCAAAGGAAACAAATCGGTATCTTCAAGAGATATCTGCACTCCCATGTTCGTTGCTGCGTTAGTCAGGATAGTCAAGGTAGGACACAATCTAAGCATCTGATGGAGGGTGGATGGACAAAGGATGATAGAGGTGTGTGGTGGAATGTTACTCAGCCTTAGGAAAGAGCCAGGCTGGGTGGTGCACGCCTGGAGTCCCAGCACTCTGGGTGGCTGAGGCAGGAGGACTGCAATTTGGAGGCCAGCCTAAGCCATTAGAGACTTGGTGAGATCTTATCTCAAAAAGAAGGTGGAGGAGGAGAAGGAAGAGGAAAACAAAGAGGAGGATGAGGAGGACAGCAAGAAGAGGGAGAGAAAAGGGGGATATCTTTCCATTAGTGACAATTGCTTCTGTGCAGCAAGGGAAACAACTAGCAAAGTGAAAGATAACCTACAGAATGGGAGGAAGTATTTGCATATACTACGAAAGAAGTTATACTCAAAGTATAGAGTATAAGGAAATCAATTTAATTGCAAGAAATCAAATAACCCCACTGAAAAAATAGGCAAAAAAAACCCTGAACAATCATCTCTCAAAAAAAAAAAAGTTGAGCATGGACAGCCCTGGAGGCCATCATATTAAGTGGAATAAGCCAGACACAGGAAGAAATACTACATGATGTCACCCATATGTGGCACCTGACAAGTGACAGTGTGCCTACCAGAAGCTGGAGGGCAGTGGGAAGCTTTTGGGCTGCTATAGTGACACGGGGCCCAGACTGCTACCTAAGGGCTCCAGTACCAAGGAGTCCCCCACAGGATATGAGGCTATTCAACCTCCTACGACATCCAAACTCTGTGGTGTCCAAGTACAGAAGTCAGGGACAGACGTAGAAACCGTGGGTCCTCATCCTCTGGCAGAGGCGTCCGGGGTTGCTCTGGTAAGGGTCTAACAGTGGCTGTCCAGGAAATGAAGCTGAGGTGCATCTGCAGTGCCTTCCAACTCGTTTGTTGGTTGGTTCATTTGTTTGAGACCAGGTTTCACTGTATAGCCCAGGCTGGCCTTGAACGCACTATGGATGTACTTATTGACTATATTGTTATAGTATTTAATCATAAGTTAATGGAATTTAGTTTTTAATAGTGACTGTATTTCTAGCAAGTGGCTCTTAAACACCTGAAAATTTGCCAGGAGGTCTTTTGTGAGCTGGCCCTGGTGTACCGCGCAGCCCGCATTCAATGACCTTTTCACTCACGGGGACTCTGCTTTACTTCTAAATTTTGTTTTTGGATTTGTTTACTTTTCTGTTTCCCCCTATAGAATACTGAATCTTTTCTTTCTCTTTGTATGCGTGTGCTTGCACGTGTGTGGTACTGGACGTTGAAACCAGGGCTTTCTTACTGAGCTACACCCCTAGACTATTTTATTTTGTATTTTGACACAGTGTCTTGCTGAGTTGCTAGGTTTCCCAGGTTGAGCTCAAACTTGTGATCTTCCTTCTGTCAAATATTTCACTTAATTTTTTATTAGCACATATGCAGTACATGATGTTAATGTTCCCTGTGTGGAGTTCGGGCATGTACACAGCACGTCTTTAACTGCTTTTGTCTCCTTCCTCTCTCCTCCCTCCATCTCTTGCTCCCCTTCCCATCTGAGAAAGATCGATCTCCTAGTTCCTATTATCTGTCTTTTATTATGTTCTTTATTTAAAACTTGAGTTTCTCATAGAAGAGAAACCGTCTGATATGAAAGCTTATGTGCTTGATTTATTTCACTTAACATTATGGTCTCAAGGTGCGTTCATTTCCCTACAAAAGACTCAAGTCTATCCTTTTGCATTGTGGAGTAGTGCTCTGTGGTGTATAAACACCACATTTTCTTTACCCACTCATCTATCAATGGGCATATAGGTCATGTTCAAGATTTTGCTGTTATGAGTTGTGCTGCTATAAATGTGGGCATGGGGACTGGGGATTTAGCTCAGTGGCAAAGCGCCTGCCTGGCAAGTGCAAGGTCATGAGTTCGATTCCTGGTACTGGAAGAAAAACGAAAAACAAACAAAAAAAAAAACAACAGTAAACATGGGCATGCACGGATCACTGCAAGGCGATGTCTTTAACTCTTGGGAAGATACCTGGAGGGGGAATAGCTGGTGCATCAAGATATCAAATAATAAAACGTGCTGGCAAGGCTGTGGGGAAAACCCTCCTATAATTGGTGGGAATATAAACTGGTACAGCCACTTTTGAAATCACTATGGAGAGTCCTCAAAAGACTAAAACTAGACATTCCACTTGACCTGACTATTCCACTTGAGATCCTCCTGTCTCAGCTTCCCAGAGTGTTGGGATTATAGGCACGTACCACTGCTCCTGGCTAGAATCCAGGATCATTGAGGGCAGGGATTCTGAATGACTTGTTCACAGCTCTTCCTCCAGCTCCTAGGGCCACATCTGGAGGTTCTCAATAAATAGACCGATCCCTGTGTGGAACATGCCGTGAAAGCAGAAATGAGAATGAGATTCCTAACACAACGGGTCTATGCGCCGTGGAAACAACTCCATAGACCTGCATGCTTTCCCAGCATGCGCAGAATGAAGCCCATTGGTGTCTCCTGGCTGTGGGAGGGGAACTGGGAATGGGGGGTGAAAATAAAGGAATAAGTGAGAAGGCTGCCTGGGCCTTGGCGTCGGGAGGGGATGAGCTCAGCTGCCCTCACCTGAGGCCGCTCTGGGACAGGTGGGGCTACATTTGCACAGTTTCCTGGGAAACAGAGCATCTCCTTGCCTGGAGGAGAGGAGGCTCAGAGGGGCAGCCCTGATCCAGGCCCGACTGCAGGGCTCCTGGCATGGACAGAGGGGGCCGCTGGGCCCTGGGAGCCACACCCGGGGTCACTGTGCACAAGGCTTTCTGGGGAAACAAGTGAAAAGAGGAGTGGAGTTAGGGGTTGTACGGCTTTTATTGCTCCTTGCTTGGTTTTGAGAGACAGGAAGAGTTTTGAGAATTGTCTTCTTATGGGTACGATGTGAGGATAGTGCTTGGGCTCCTCCCTGCTGTGCCCAAGGGGTCCTGCGCAACGTCAGGGCCACTGTGGGGGTAGGGAGGGAAAACCTGAACAACTGCTCTGGGAAAGGGGGCGGAGTTGGGAGTGAGGGTGAGGATGCAGGGCCAAAGCCCCGGGCCCGAGGGAGGAGGGCTGGGGACACACACAGGGCCAACCCAACGGATGAACAGTGACCCTATGGTCCTTGACCCCGCATTGTTCTCTGGATCCAGCTTTGGTACTTGCACAGGTTGGTGTAGACCCCTGGGTAGCCAGCCAGGGCGCAGCGCTCCATCCCCCAGGACACGAGGCCCTGGAGCTGTCCTTCACACACAAGGGGTCCCCCAGAGTCACCCTGAGTAGGAAGAGGGGGAAGGGCAGAGATGGAGACAGAGGTGTGGACGGGAAGGGAGGTCGGCTGAGACACCACCGTCTTCCCCAGCTCCGAGCCCAGGCTGGAGAAGGCCCTGGGTCCTGTCCCCACAGGGCCCTGAGTGCTTTGTCTGTCTCCCAGGCTCTGTGCTAGCCTCTGTCCCTGGGGTCCTCCCGTCTTTGCTGAGCTGCAGAACAATGTGTCTTTTTTCATCTCTCCCATCTCTGCCTCTTTCAGAGATATACTCGGGTTTCCAGAGGCCCCAGCATGGTTTTTCAAATTCCTCTACTGGGGGCACCACTCTACACCCTTGCCATGGGCCACTGCATCCAATTCCACCAACCCTAGGGGTGCTATTCCCTTAGCATGAGGAACTGAGGCCTACAGGGATTAAGAGCGAATTGCACAGGGCTCCCACTCTCTGTCCTGAGGTTTCCTTCCCCAGCCACCTCACTGGCTTCCCGCTCCTGGGCTCCTTTGGTACTACAGGCCCAGCCCCAAACAACCCCTTGACCAGCTCCCACCCTGGCCTCACCTGACAAGAGTCCTTCCCACCCTGGGGGACTCCAGCACAGACCATTCCGGCAGTGATGGCACCAGGATAGGCCTGCTGGCAGGCTTGATCTGAGAAGATGTTGATATTCACACACTGCAGAGCATTGGGGTACCTGGCTGAAGGAGGGGGACACCAAGGGTCATAACGGGTCAGTCTTCCCTTAAAACCCAGGGGTCCAGCCTCCTCCCTCAGACCCAGGTCCATGCCCAGCCTCCTCCCTCACACCTGGGAGTCCAGGCCTCTCCTTCCAGGATTTAGCTGTCTTTACCAATAGGGCTGGATGTGGTGCCCCAGCCCGACACACGGCAGGGTGTTCCGGGGCTGGCGCAGGACTGGGCCAGGCCGATGGGTCTCACTGCCCGCCCGATGCGTGCTGGGTGCCTCAGCTGCAGCAGCATCAGGTCGCTGTCGTGGGTCCTGCCGTTGTAGCTGGGGTGTGGCACCTGGCGCTGCACCCGCAGCACTTGCTGGGTGGCCTCCCACCTCCTCAGGTTGTGCTTGCCCAGGGAGACATGAAGGATCCTGGCCCAAGACCCCCAAGAGTAAGGCCGCTTACAGTCAGACCCAGGGACCCGCTCCCAGCCCCACTCCCTTCCCCTGGTGATGAATTTTCCCCTGAGTCCAACCCTCTTCCCTCAGCTGCAGGCTGAGAGCTTTCTGGGCTCCAGGGCCTTCTCTTGGGCCTGTGCATTCTCTCTTGGCCCAGCCCCACCAGGGGCCCCCTTCTTCTTGGGCTGTGCTCTGGCCCTTTGCTTAGGTATAAAACCATAGTTGGGGTTCTTGACGCAATTCCAGAGGCCAAGTTCTAGGCTCTGAGTTCTAAATGAGACCCCTAGGTTACAGCTCCAGGCTCTGAATCAGAGTTGACGGGGTCAGCTCCTTCCTCATTCTACAGGGGCTCTCGTGCTAGCCATTTTCCCATCTTGACTCTAGGCTAGGATGAGGATTCTAGATCACACCTGCATATATGGCATGATTTCCAGATTCTGACGCGAGCTTTCTGTTTTAGGATGAACTGAGGGCTTTATTTTGAGCTCTGCACTGTGCCTTGGGTTTGGGTTCTAGATTCTGGTGTGAGCTTCCAGTTAGAGGGTAGGGTGAAGATTCCACATGCACAGTGGATTGTGACCTGAGCTAACGGATTCTGGGTCCTCACATGAGTTCGTTTCTGGTTGAGCTCTGGGTTCTTGATGAAGCTTTTACGGTCTCAGATTTGGACAGTGGCTTGAAATCTGTGACCTGGTTAGGCTCACGTTTCCAAATATAAGTCCAAACTCTTCTTTATAGAACAGATTTTTTCAAACTGAATGATAGGTTATAATCTGGGCTCTGGATTCTAGACTGGTCTAAGTTTTTGATCTTAGGTGGGCTCAAAGTTCCAGATGGAGCTTTAGGTTACGATGTGAATCTAAGAATCTAGAGAGTAATTTTTTTCCTGGGCTTTATATTCTAGCATCTGTGCTGAGCTCCAGTCTCTGGGTTCTAGACTGAACTCCAGTTTATGGCATTGGATCTCGCTTATAGGCACCAAGTGGGCTCTAGTCTGGATTTTGACTTCAAGGCTAGGGTCTGGGTTCTAAGCTCAAGCCCAAAGTCTGCAAGGGGATCGGGGTTACTATGGAGCTTCAGACTATCGCCTGAATTCTGGCATTTACGCTCTGGATGGAGGTCTAGGTTGTAGACTCCTCAAAGAGGAGCTGTAGACTAGATTTTGACTTAAGCCTGGCGTCTGGAACAGGCTCCAGGTTTGGGCTCTAATCCTACAGTCTTGTGTTCCAGCTGTGAAACGGTTGCGGATTTCTGTCTAGACTGTATTTTCTGATTTGAGGTTTGGGTTCTAGGTAGCGTTCTGAGTTTCTGAACGTAGACTGTGCCCTGAATTCAATCACCAGTCTGGAATGGGCCACTTTGAGTCTCAATATGGATGGATCTCCAGGGGCTGGGGATTTAGCTCAGCGGCAAAGCGCCTGCTTGGCAAGCGCAAGGTCGTGGGTTCGGTTCCCGGTACTGGAGAAAAACCAAAAAAACAAGCTAAAATAAAATAAAATAAAATATGAATGGATCTCCAGGTATATGTTAAACTCTAAACTGGTTTATGGGTTCCAAGGTGCTGACCGGCTTTCAGAATCTAAACTGCATTCACGATTTATGGACTGGATTCCATATCTGATCTATGTCTTTCACTCTAGGATCTTCCCTAGATCCCAGAACAAGAGCCAGCCACTCTGCTGGGTTCCACACAGGGCTCTGGGTTCTCAGCTGTGCCCTGGGGCTCTGTGGAGTCTAGAACTCGCTTGGCATAAGAACAAAGAAGGGGAACACTCACGGGCGGGCACAGTGAGCGGCCGTGATGACCCACTGGTCTGACAACAGGACCCCTCCGCACAAGAACCGACGCCCAGCCCCAGCCAGAAGAGCCACCTGCCACGGCTGGGAGTTCCGGATGCAGGGATAGCCACCAATTATCTTGCTATCATCTGCTGGGCTCTGAGCCATGGCTAGAAGGAGACAGGGATGGGATGTGAAAGCAAGTGAACAAACGCTTTCCTTTCCCAACTCAACAGAATGCCCAGTTGATGAAGTGCCTTCCTTCCGGTCTAACCCTTCAGCCATGTCCTCTTTCAGCCCCACCAATGTAGTATCTATGCACCATTTTCCCCTCAGACAAGCACGGAGTTTTTGGACCTCTCCCTTCAGTCACTTTCACGCATCTAACACTGTGTCCACAGCTACCGAAACACCTACAGCCTCAGCTCCACCCCCCCAGGACTACTTTCTAGCCTCACTCCTCAACTTGCTACACTCCCCCCCAGACCTTCCCCCACATGCCCACGGAGCTCCCTGTCTCTTCCCCCACTTTCCCACACCGTGCGGCCCTCCAGGAGCCACCATCTGACCTCCACTTCCTCCACCCACCAAGCACCACCACCACCACCTCCAACGCTCACCGCTTCTCCCGCTTCATGCTGACCACAACCACCTTTCCCGGATTATTTCTTCCCTGACCTGCTCAGGGGAAGGCTCTCTGAGGACTCTGTTCCCATAGGATCCATGCAAGACCTCAGAGTTCTCCCTGATTCCTTACTTATTGCCCCAATCTCCTACCATGGCCTCTGTCCCCAACGCCCCCATCTCCTACCATTTCCACAGCTCAGGTCATCAGCCTCCAGCCCAGGCTACCCCTACTCATTCTCTGCAGCCTGCCCTTGAGCAGTCTCACTCCCAAAGCCTTTCACCAGCTTCCCAGGGGCCCATCTCCCTGCACCCCACGGTTCTCTTACCTACAGCCAGGACTTGGAGTGCGGACAGCAGGAGGAACATCCCAGGGCTGGCTAGGGGTTAGCGATGCAGAGGGAGAGAAGGAAGCCACAAGAGAACCAGGGGTTGAGGCCACTCACACAGAGACCCTGACCCTTAGAGGCATGGAGCTGGGACAGAGGTAGAGGCTGGAGACTTCAAGGGCAGGGTCAGGAGGGAGGATGCTGAGCAGGCTCCGTTCCCCCAAGCCTGGTGCATGAAGGAGGTAGAGATGGTGTCACTTCATAGTCAAGTCGGCAAAGCCTTTTATCCAGGTCTGAGCAGCTGGCCCTGCCCCCCACCGCCCTTCTTCTGACATTCCATTTTTATTGCCTGGTTTCCCTGCCAGGACTCTTGCTTTCCCTGCCCTTCCACCCCTTCCTGGTCACAGAAGCAGCCACAGTTGTTAACAAGAACCCGCCCCTGAAAGATGCTATAATCTGGAAGGAATCTGGGAAGGACGACCCTGGGGCAGGGTGGACCGGGCGGGTGCCCTGTTCTGGCAGCAGAGATTTGGTGGTAGACTGGTGAAATCGGGGCGAGGGCTCAAAGGAAGGGGCTGGGATGCAGGAAACCACAGAAGGAGCGTGAGAGGCTGGAGGATGAAGGGGAAGTAAGATATGAAGGTAGAGAGACCAGAGTGAAGGAAATACAGGCACAGCAAGAGCGGTGATGGAGGTGAAGGGCGGTGAGGAGAGAGGTGGAGAAAGAGGGGAAGAAAATGTAGATGGGAAAGTGGGGGGAGCCAGACACAGGGATCGGGGTGGCCCAGTGACACGTGCAGAGGTAGCACGGTTGGCTAGGGAGACAGAGAGAGCGCCAACCCCAAGATGGCGGCAGTGGTACGGACAGGAACAGGCAGAGAAGGAACTGGCGATAGATGGGAGGAGGAAGGGACAAGTCAGGCAGGTGACCTTGGGGAGGCTCTGGGACCAGTGGTACCAACAGGGGAAGGGGACACAGACAGAGGAGCTGGGGCTTGGTCACTACAGAGGCCAAGGAGAGAGGGAGTCCAGGAAGGGACAGGGGAGAGATGGGCAGGAGGCCCTGAGGGTCCCCATAGTTCTGAGGTGTGAGGATCAGGGCCCTCAGCAGGGAGGAGGAGGGTCAGCACCAGGAGCGGTGGTACCTAACTTGGGCCCTGCAGATGGGTGGGGAAGAACAGGGTGCATAGGCTGTCAGAGCTGGAGACCCAGGGAGAGGGGACAGAGACCCAGGGAGAATGGACAGAGACTGAGAGAGGGAGGGGCAGAGACCCAGGGAGAGGGGACAGAGACCCAGGGAGAGGGGACAGAGACCCAGGGAGAGGGGACAGAGACTGAAAGAGGGAGTGGACAGAGGCCCAGGGAGAGGGGACAGGGACCCAGGGAAAACAGCGTGGGTTGGGTGGGATGATGAGAGGTCCAGCCTGCCTGTAGGGGGCCCTGCACTGAGGGCTGCATCCTGACTTGGGGGAGGGCCTGCTCTCCACAGCCTTCCCCCAGCCTCTTCAATTCCCTAATGATTATAATTTGTCTCTGGGCCTTGGCAGCCCCACACCTGGACCACGTGTTGACTCAGAAGGCTTCCTCCCGCACTCTCCCTCCCTTCCCCTGGGACAGCTCCCAGCTACTTTCCTCCTAGGCTGTGCCACAGCTGCAGCCTTTCTTTGCCCAGGGGCCTAAAGAATCCTCTGGGAATGCAGGGATGGGGTGGCATGAGGGAGCTGACCCATAGTATGGGTCAGCTGTGTGCGTGTGTGTGGGGAGGGTACTGGGGATGGATCCTAACGTCTGCACACTGAGCTACATCCCCAGCCTTTTTTATTTATATATTTTGAGGCAAGGTCTTGCTAAGTTGTTCAGGCTGGACTCAAACTTGAGGTCCTCCTGCCTCAGCCTCCCGGACTTCTGGGATTGCAGGTGTGCACCACCACGTGTGACAAGTTCTGGGTCTTGATGTGGTGGCCGTGGTTACCAGAACTCACACTGAGATAAAGTGACACGGACTCCCACACCCGCGGGCACGTGCACACACACAAACAGCTGCCTCCAAACAGTGAATGTGGGGTGAAGCCTGCAGTCTAGGTAACAGTACGGCAGCTACATGGGTTTCCTGGTTTGCATACACAAGATATCCCCCTTCGGGGAAGGTGTGGAAGGGCACATCAGACTCCCTGCTCTGTATTTGCAACTTCAGGTTAGTCTATAAGTAACTCAAAATAAAGTTAAAAACAAAATGGAAATCTTCTGCCTAGAAAGAAGTGTGCTTAAGGGAAGCCCTGGTGAACCCACGGGGTGCCCAGGCCAGGCTGGGGATGTGTCGAAAAGAGGGGCTTCCCAGGGAGCTGCCGGTGCGCCATGGCCACAGCTGGGCTCCTCGCTCCTCTTCCCCCATATGCTAAACTGAGGGGTCCTGTGCCCCTCTCTCCCAGCCCGCAGAACAGGGTCCTCTCGCCTTAGACGGGTCCTCCATGCAGAGCTGATGGCTGCATGAATGAATGAACGAACACACAGCCCCAGTCCTCGCCTGCATGAACTCACCATCTCGTAGCACCGCCAAAGCAGCAGCGTGAAACTCAGCCCAGCATCCTGTGCCCGAGGGAGCCCTGGGTGTGGGGAAAAGGCTTCAAAGTGCAGCAGGTGAACAGGAGTTTGCCAAGGTGTCAGGAGTGCGGTGGGAGCTTGGAGCCAGAGCTCAATGTGGGACAGAGAAGAGGCTGGACAGTCGGGGTCCAGATGCAGAGGGGCTGAGTCCCAGCTGAGGGGAGGGCGCAGGGCGTGGTTCTGAGGAGGGAGGGAGAGAGGGTCTGGGGCTAGGAGGCTGGGTGGGGACAGTGGCTGGTCGTGCAAACTCCACAACTTCCCGGTCTCCCGGGTGCTCTGCACAGCCAGGCGATGTGTGATGTCTTCTTTTCCACTGCTGTTTGCTTTAAGGAAATTGTTACTTTATCGTGGTAAAACATTTGAGACCTTAACCATCTTGAGTGCAGTGCAGTGGGACTAAGTACTTTCACCCTGTCGTGCAGCCACCGCTCCTGTCTGTCTCCCCAAAGTTTTTCACAGTCCGCCACTGAAAGTCTGCATCGACTGAACAATCACTTCCTGCTTCCCCCGCTTCCAGACCCCGGAAACCACCACCCTTCTCTACGCACTTGGTACCTCCAGGTTCCCTGTATATTAGAATCTGTCCTTTCGTGTGTGGCTTGTTTTACTTAGCATAATGTCCTCATGATTCACCAGATTGCAGCACTTCTCAGAATTTCCTTCCTTTTAAAGGCTGAGTAATATTCCCTATGTGGACATACCACATTTTGTTTACCCAGATACATTTTTTGTGTGGATTAATATGCTCTCTCCATCTTTCCCTTCCTCTCTCCTGTCTGCCTTCCTTTTCCTTCCCTTCCTCCTTTCAACCCATATTTGTTGAGCACCTACTATGCATTCACCCACTCACCCACCCGTTTGTCATGCTTCTAGTTACTGGGAAAACACTAATGAACAAAATAGACCAAGAACATGCTTGAAGTGCCTCATACTCTTGAAGAAAAAGAAAATGAATACAATACGTAATGGTATGAGCTACAAGAGCTGAGGAAAGACGAGTGAATGCACAGGTTCTGGGGAGTCCTCAGCAGGACCAGCACGGCTGGCGTGGAGTGGAAGGCGAAGGTACAAAGGTCATGGGAAGTCTGGGCTCCTCAGCATAGGCAGTGTGGGGTCCCCACTGCACAGACTGGGAAACCGAAGCTGGGAGGAAGCGGCCTGTCTGAGGCCCCTCGGCAGGAGGTAGCGTGCAAACTCCACAACCATCCTAAGCCTTTCTTCTCTTGGTCCCATGGCAAGCACTTACTTGCATGTGTCCAACAGGATTTTAACGTGTGACAGATGGATTAACTCACGATCCTTCCCTCACGGCGTGAGAACGCGGGCGGCCCTGAGTTGCTCTGTGGCCCTCACAAGACGGAGCTGGGTCACTGACCAGGTTGCACAACGCTGAGAGGTGGCCTCCCTCCCAGCCCAGGCAGGAGCTCTTGGCCCCCGGGAGATGGGGCGGGGCGTGCAGCAGCCGAGCGGTGGGGTTAGCAGCAGACAAGGGCAAAGACACCTCTTCCATTGTTGCAGGAAGGAAGGAGGAAAGGGCGGCTGGGGTGTGAGTCAGGCGGCAGGAAGTCCGGGCTCCTCCAGTGGTTTCTGTTTTCTCCGGCAAGATGGCAGCTAGCAGATCTCAGGGGGCGCCTGGGCAGGTGGGGGCTCGGGAGGCTGAGGGCAGCGGAGGGCAGGAGTGGGCACTGGGCGCAGGGAGCGAGGATGGAGGGGACTTGGCGGGGAGGCCAGTGTCCTCGGGGTGGAGCAACAGGAAGGGCAGAGCCACCCACAGCGTCCGACGCAGGGAGGCTGTGGTCAGGGAGCGGGCTGTGGGGCTCTGCGGGTTCACAAGTGGAGACAGAGGCGGTGGGTGTGGCCGTGGGAACGGATGGGGTGGGGGCGGGGGTCTCTGGCCCTGGGAAGCTGGGAGTGCCCTTTTCTCATGGGTGCCCTGACTGCCTGTGTCTCTGCGTACACCATCAGGCAGGGGGCCAAGAGCCTGGCACACACGGGCACTCGATGAGGTCCGGGGCCCCCGGGTACCGTGAGCAGGGGAGGACACTGGCCTTATCAGATGCAGCTTGTGCAAGAGGCAGAGCCAGGACTTGAATCCAGATCAACTGGGTGTTAAACTCCCTGCCAGTATCCCCAGACAGAGCCCCGGCTCCCAGGACACTGTGCAGAAAGAGTGTATGTGGAGGAGCAGACAGGGACCCCTCTGCCTTCCCCGGGCCCCAGCAGCTCCGGTTGGCGATACTTTAGGACCCACTGTGCGCTATGCCTCGATTCTCCCTCTGCCTGCGCACGATGCCAGCTCCCAGACAAGGAGATGGGGGGACAGCAGGTGCCCACAGCTGCAGCTGAGCGAGCGGCAGTGTTGGGATTCGAACCCCAACCCACCGCACTCCGTGCCTCTCCGCTGTGGGTCCCGGGCGGCTCTTTGCTGATTGCTCAGAAGTGTCTCAGTCAGCTTCCCTACCTGCCGCCTGCCAGGCAGCCCCTGTGTGTGAACCTGGGGCCCTCCATCTCCGACCCCACTGACTCCAGTTTCAGCCCCGTGGTCCCCCTGACCCTCCGAGCCTCCCTCTGTCCTTCTCAGCTGCTCACCTCACACCCGGGAGTGCTCCCTGACTCCCGGCTTGCTCCCGCCCCCCCCATTTGACAACTCCGGTCACCTCATCTCCTGCACAGACCACAGAGCATCCGCCCTCTCACTCCTGCCCCGCGCCCTCGCCGCTGGCCGTGCCCTCACCTCTCACCTGCACAGGTGTGACAGCATCTGAGCTGGCCTCGGCTTCCACCTCAGCCCTCCCGCCCCAGGCTTGGCTGTTCTGCACTGGGCTAACACCCAAAAGCCACAGCAGCTTGCTGAGCCCCGCTCCAAACCCTTCGGGGTCTCCACTGCGCTGTCATAAACCCTACAGGTCCCCGAGCACCTTGCCTGGCATCTGTCTGTCCGTCCAGCCTCGCCTCTCCATTGGAACTGTGCCTCAGACTTCTGGGCGTCCTTGATGGTCTCCATCTGGCAGGTGCCTTCCTGCCTCAGGACCTTTGTCTGTGCCATTCCCCGCTGCCTGGGACTCACCTCCCTCCACTCTGCCCATTCCCCTGCTTCAGATCTCAGCCCGGAGGTCGCCTTCTGCGCACCTTCTCAAGCCTGTGTTCTCTTCTAGTTCCTGTCTCAGCCCTGGCTGGTTTCCTTCCTGGCTTACTTTAATCTGCAGCTGCTTTGCGTTTGCTTCTCTGTTGTCACATTTTGCTCTGTGGCACCAGCGCCATTGGACGACCCTTGTGTTTTACTCAGCTTGTCTCCCACGAGGGTCAGCTCTCACAGGGCCGGGGTCTGCTCGGCTCAGCGCACCGTGGGAGGAGCAGCGCCTCTCTCACCGGGCTTCCCCAGGGCAGCGGCCTTGCTCACCTCCACCACTGCGCTGCCTGGCCCCCAAGGCCTGGCCTGGCACCTGGCACGGCTGTGTGATGCCGTCCTGGAGCCTGTTTCTCCCCAGAACCTCTGCTTCTGCCGCCTCCACCCCTTCCGGCCTCACGGAGGCATCCAGCCACCCAGTGCAGAGCAGCACCCAGGGGTGGTGGTGGGGGAAGCTCGGTCTCCCAGGCTGGCTTCCAAAGCGCTGCTGGGGGAGGCTGCTCCCGAGCCCAGGGCTGGGAGGCTGGCGTCTCAGACCCACTGCCACGGTCAGCAGCATCAAAGGCCTCCGGTGCCCACGTAGGGGTTTCCCGTGGCCACGGGCCTCAGCCAAGGCCGTTCCTGGCCTTGGTCGCCGACAGAGACCTCCAGCCCGGCTGTGGGACCGTGTTTCCCGGGGCTGCGCCCCCTGCCACAGCAAGCCTTGCCCGCCCTCCACGTTTCCGTCCCTTCCTCCAGGGCGCACAGTGGCCTCTGCCTCAGGTCAGGGGAGGGCACCCTTGGCATGCCTAGGTGACATCTTGTGGCTTTACGTCTTTGAGTCAGGGAGGGGCTCCACTTCCAGCCCTTGGGCAGCACTCAGGTCCCACCCGGGCCCTCTGCTCAGATCACGGCCCTGGACACACAGCTGGCAGCGGGTCTGAGCCCCTGCCCCGGAGCCCCTGCCCAAGGCCGCTGCCTGCCCTGCTCTCTGCCCTCCGCCTTTGTCCCTCCCTCTTCCCTTCCGCAGCTCGCTCTTACTCACTCGCCTGGGTCTCGGCTTCAACGCCACCTCCTCCAGGAAGCATCCATGACGCACGCCGCCGAGCCGGGCGCCCCACCTCTGGGCTCCCCCGTGTCCTCCCTAAGCCTCTGGGTGGCGCACAGCCCTGTGGTCTCGACTTGCCAGTGCCCGTGCCCACCTCCTGCCCTAAACAGGGCGCCCATCGAGGGCCGGGCCGGCGGCTGACTCAGCTTAGTTTCCCGACCGCTCCAACCGCTCCGCGGGGCAGTCTCTGGGAGGCAGCAGGAAGTGCTTGCGGCGTGAACAGAGCATGATCCTTATCTTTCCCTCCTCGGAGAGCCTGCACCTTTGTTCCACCCCTCTCAAACCCAAAGGCAGCCCGGGAACCCGCCTGCTCCGGCCTCCCCTCCGAGCGCAGGGAGCGCTGCGTGCTGCCCCTTCCGGGAACGCTCTTCCCAGCGCTGGTCCTCGTGCACAGGTCCTTGACTGAAGCCACCTTTCCGGGCCTCCGGCCACCCCATCTAGATGCACACAACGCGCTCCTGTCCCACACTGTCACCACCTCACCTGCTATACACACTACTTGTTTGCTAAATCTTTGGCGAGGGCAGGTGGTTTAAGTTTTGCTCACCGCTGTCCCAAGTTGTACCCAGTCAGTGTTTGCGGAACATGTGAACATGAGACTCTTCAGGGCAAAGTGTCCGTGTTCCTGCGGGCCCTGACGAGCTCTGCTGATCCGTCTCCGTTTCTTGGGGCCTAGCTGGGAGTCCAGGAGGGACCAGGGATGCGGAGTTCCTATCCGGCCTTGGAAGATCTGCTGTCCCGGGCCACCTGCTGCACAGGCGAGGGCACAGTGGCCCCTAGCGGCCACAGCTCGCAACAGCAGCTTTTCAGGCTCTGCAGAGGCCTCACTAAGGCAAAGGGCTTCGCTAGCAGAAACAGCAAGCAAGCAAGGCGTGGTGGTACAGACCTAACTCCAGCACTGAGGGAGGCTGAGGCAGGAGGATTGCGAGTCTGAGCCCGGCCACGGGCTCGAGTCCCTGTACCAAGCTGGGGGTGGGAGGTAGCTAGTGCTCAGGGAGCTCACTAAATGTCAGGCGCTCCCCTAAGCACCCACGCGCACTTATTTCAACCCGCTGCCTCCTCACGTGGAAGGAGAAACTACGGAGCAGGCAGAAAAGGCCCCCGTCCCAAGCCACACTGTGACTCAGTGGCACACCTGCCACAAGAACCTAGGTCTTCTGGCAGGTCTACAGCCCTTGCTCCCTTCCTGGTGTGCTGCTGTGTGACCTTGGGGAAGTTACTTCACCTCTCTGGGCCACAAGTATAGCCTTCGTCAAACTAGGGATACAGCTCCACCCCCAATGTCACTGCGCAAAGGAGGACGCTTGGCATGGTGCCTGCCAAACACGCAGCCTCCTAGTATGGATCTTAATCGTCTTGCGCCCCCTACAGCCCGTTCTCCTCACAGCACCCAGAGTAAGTTTTTAAAAGCGGAAATTGGATGGATTCCTGGCCCCAAGGCCCTCCAGACACTTAACACCAGGTTTAGAATAAAATCCAAGATCCGGGAGTAGTGGCCATTCCTGAAGCCTGGGAGGCTGAGGCAGGAAGACTGCAAGTTCAAGCCCAACCTGGACAATTTGTCGAGACTGTCTCAAAATATACAGGAGAAGTTCTTAAGGAACGTTTGTTAAGTGAAAAGCCGATGCTCTGTGACCCTGAGATAACACTGGGGGAGGCAGAGCAATGCCCTCCGGCCCAATCTAATAAGGCAAGAGGAGACCAAGTGGTTTGCATGGCCGCCCAGTGAGGACAGGACCACGGGCTGGAGCTTGGCGTGTCCACTGCCCAGGGCTGGGAGGGAGGAGTCTTCCCATTGGTCAGGAGGAAGCTTCAAGGTCTCGCCTTCCTGTGCTGCTGGACAGCGACGCTCAAACCCAGCGCCCTCTGGTGGCCAGACCTTGGTATGAACAGCCAAGTCCACCACCGGTTCTTCAGCACCTCGGAGTCCTTCCAAGAGGGCTTTGGTTTTATTTTCAGAGGAGAACACGGGAGATCAGAAAGCTTTAGCCAGCAGCCCAGGCCCCTCCACCTCTGCCTCCGA